TTTAGACACCGCTGTTTTACATGTGTTTGTTTGCGAGTTTGATGTTTCTTGGGACCGAGCGCTGCAGCCGCAGCCACCGAGGCCTGCAGACGCCAAAAAGCTGCTGTGCGAGTTGGTTCAGAAGTGCCGCTTGATAATCCCACAAGCGACAGACTGCTCACAGGCAGTAGAAGCTGTGCAGCCAAAACGAATTGGCCCAGCAATAATCACACTCTGGATGCATCAGTTTGAGGAAGCACACGGAACAAAGCATCATTGATCATTGAGACCCAACACACCTTTGTCCGGCATGGTTGTGCCTCAGCGTGTCGCGCAGAGTGCTCAACGCTCAACAGCCAACAAACACTTGAGTTTGGGGTTCTGCTCAATCAGACCATTTCTCAATTGTCATAAAAGAATGACCGAGCAGATCCCTGTGTTTCTGAGGTCGCCTGCTCCAGGCCCGTCGGTGTTAGCTGTGGTCAGCTTGGACCCCAGCTTCTGTGAAAGGGTGCACATGTCGCCACTACTGGCATGAATGCTGTCTTTTCTGTGATCACTTGTTATCGCGAGAATTCTTAGTCTTGTTGGTAGAGTCATGTTTTTTGTGGGTGGCATTGGGTTTTGAGGTCGTGGTCCCTCATGCTGCCGGCAGGGTGCTCAGAGCCTGTCTTCGCTTGATTAAAAGACCGGCCGTCTTGAGGCTAAGCTCCCTGAGGTGCAGCTTAAACTGGACCTTTGGCCTAAGCATCGGAGCTGGAATTCAGAAAGCCGACATTAAAAGCTGACCACTATAAGATCCGATGCACAGAAAGTCGGGATGTAAACAAGGCCCTAAAAATTGCGACTTCAACCCGTGAACCTTAATCCTGAAGCTTGAACACACCCTCAAAACGCAAAGCTTAGAGCCACAGGCCTCCAGTCCATTGGAGATCCAGCACGCTTCCGTGCGTCACCAAAGCGCAGGTGCTCGGATTTAGCGCTCCTTGAATATTGTTCAGGGTCGTGTGGTTGCCACCATGATTCGGTTAGTGTTCCCATAACAGGGGATGAACCTGCGACCTGAGTTGCTGTTAAGGAACTTAATATTCATTATAAGCTGTTGTAATATGGAAACCCTATTGCTGACTACATATCCCCAGGATGGCAACTTAAACTAGGTTCGTTAACAACAACCCAGCCTGTGAAGCCCTAACCAAACTTTTCAGCGGACTGGTTTGGGATGGCCGGGAACCTCAGGCGCTGCTTCTTTCCTCTTCCGGCGCACCCGCTCGTGGCCCAGCTTCCGCAGCCATCGCCCAGATGATTTGCGAAGCATGTGAGTCGTTCTGAATTTATTCCAGAGCTCTTGGGGGCCCTTGGACAAAGCCCCAACAATCTCCCTTCACTCTCACCGTATCCGGGCTGCATCGGGCTGCCTTGACACAACTCGGATTGAGAGAGCAAGCCCCTAACCCTAAACCCTGCCCTAAACCCTAAAACGCCAAACCCTAAATCCTAAAATCCTAAATCCCAAAACCTTAAATCCCAAAACCCGAAATCCCAAATCCCAAGCCAATCCACCCTTCTTCACTCAGTTCGCAGCGCAGCTCAGCGAGCCGTTTGTCACGCCACACCGAGCTTGGCCCCCGGCGCAAGCAGTTTCATGTTCCCAAAGTCTTGAGGTTTGTCGGAAAACCCTCTCATGTGTTTGGGCTTCCTCATGATGTTTTGGAGGGTAGAGCAGGGCACCTTGCGATCCTAAACCCTACCTTAGCCCCAAATAATCCACGCTTTTAAGGACTTGCCTAAAGAGCTCTTTGTTAGGGAGCCCTAAAAACCGTAGGAGACCCTAAACCCTCAACGGCTTTAGGGGGCCTCGGGCTCCGAGGCGCAACGAGTTGCCAAGGCTGTCATCTCTGCCACCCCTCCCCGACATTGTTTAGGGTTTGAGGGGTTTAGGGTTTGAGGGGTTTAGGGTTTGAGGGGTTTAGGGTTTGAGGGGTTCAGGGTTTGAGGGGTTTAGGGTTTGAGGGGTTTAGGGTTTGAGGGGTTTAGGGTTTGAGGGGTTTAGGGTTTGAGGGGTTTAGGGTTTGAGGGGTTTAGGGTTTGAGGGGTTTAGGGTTTGAGGGGTTTAGGGTTTGAGGGGTTCAGGGTTTGAGGGGTTCAGTGTTTGAGGGGTTTAGGGTTTGAGGGGTTTAGGGTTTGAGGGGTTTAGGGTTTGAGGGGTTTAGGGTTTGAGGGGTTTAGGGTTTGAGGGGTTTAGGGTTTGAGGGGTTTAGGGTTTGAGGGGTTTAGGGTTTGAGGGGTTTAGGGTTTGAGGGGTTTGAGGGGTTTAGGGTTTGAGGGGTTTAGGGTTTGAGGGGTTTAGGGTTTGAGGGGTTTAGGGTTTGAGGGGTTTAGGGTTTGAGGGGTTTAGGGTTTGAGGGGTTTAGGGTTTGAGGGGTTTAGGGTTTGAGGGGTTTAGGGTTTGAGGGGTTTAGGGTTTGAGGGGTTTAGGGTTTGAGGGGTTTAGGGTTTGAGGGGTTTAGGGTTTGAGGGGTTTAGGGTTTGAGGGGTTTAGGGTTTAGGGGTTATTGAACTGGGTTGCTGTTAAGGAACTTAAACTAGGCTATTGTGAGAGAAGGAAACCCATTATTTACTATTTACTCTTTGTGAACAATACCAAACCCTAAAGCCTAAACCCTAAACTCTACACCCTAAACCCTAAACCCTAAACTCTAAACCTTAAACCCTAAACCCTAAGCCCTAAACTCTAAACCCTAAACCAATTCCTCGCTTTGAGGAGCCCATGGCTGAGAGCGTCGAGGAGCTGCCAAGAAGTGTGGTGCTTCCTGGCTGCATGGCGCACCACCCGTCGGGTCTGGGTTTTAGATCCCTTAATGGGGGTTCCTGTAAAGTATCCTTAGTAGTATAGGGCCCCAAATTAGGGGATCTAATCTTCGTTTGATAGGCGAGGATGGCTGGCGGAGTTTATTTCCGAAAATAGAGGAGCCTTAATATAGCACCCGAGATAGTAGGATCCTCATTATAAGGACCCAAAATAAGGTACCTCTACTTTTTCGGAAATTCCCATATGCAACCAGTAGCCTGGGGTGGAGGAAGCCTCAGCTTCCACATCTGGATTGCTTGCCCTGCAGCTTTGATTCCATGGTGCAGGGCTTCAGGTTATAGCGCAACGAGTGCTGCTGCTACGACTCTACGGCTACTACCTTTCCGTTGTAATGCTTCTGCATAGTTTCATCCTTGCTACCACTCTTCTCACCGTTGCCAGATGCTCTCAACCTCATGCCGCAAGTCGCCAACCTTAACGGCCCTGAACCACCCTAAAGCCAAACCCCATTTCGCCCTGAAGCTTCGCACAACCAAAGCCCCCAAGCTTAACAAGCCCTGAAGACCAACACAGCCCTGAAGCCTATGGCTTCATGCCCTAAACCGGTAAAGCCCTGAAGCCTTGAAATCTGGAGCCCCGAAGGCTTGAAAGACCCACTTTCTGAAACCCTCAGCCCTAAACCCTCCGCCCTGCAACCCTAAACTTTAAACTTCAGGGCTAGGGCCTCGCGCCCCGAACCCTCCCCCTTAAGGGAACCATGGGGTTTAAAAAGTCGGGTCCCGCAGGCCCTGACGTCTTTCGCCCGCGCACGGCTCAGGATGCCTCCCTGGAGGTGGAGGGTGCGGAGGAGCCGGTGTCCTCAGGGATGGGCGTGGGGTTGTCGAGGGGGTGTAGGGATCGGGGTGGCTTGGGGATTGTGGTTTAGGTTTCATGGAGGGTTGTGGGTGATTCAAGTGGTCCTATAAGGGAAATAGCAGAAACAGCTGTGAGGAGGTTGTAAGAAGGCCTCGATTGTTGAAGGTGTTGGGATCCGTTTCTACGCAGGTGCATGAGCTTGACATAAATACCACGAGGGTGGAACCGCAGCAATGATTCTTGGGGAGGGAGCCTTGGGGATCGTGGTTTAGGTTTTAGGGAGGGTTGTAGATGATTCAGTGGTCTCATAAAGGAAATTCCCGCCCTTGCGAATCGCGGTGCTGGTGCAGCTTTCATTGCATCGCGGCCTCATACTTCTGCTTTTGCGTAGAATGGGGTCCCAAATCATTGGACAGTACTCCTAAGGTTCTTGATTCTGAAGTCCATTAAAGCGACTACATTAGTCTTGCCTCGTTTAGGGTTGCGGGTTCAGCCGCGATTTCAATCGTCGTCATATCACTACGCAGTCTACACTAAGTCATGTTGAGGATGTTGAACTAAGGGGATTGCTAAGGTGTCTTGGCGCTGGGTATGCACCCACGTGCGGAGGACCCCTTACCCAAAACTCTACTTGAAGGATCAGGGGACTTAGCAAGTAAGGTCATAAGTACTTTAATTGGGGTAATCACTCTGCAACCGTCACCATTACGAGGCTTCGGTTTGAAGCGAAATGCTCTCCCCTAAACACGGAGACTTAGCGAACTCAGGCACGTGGCGATGAGAAGCTGCAGGAGGCCATGTCGAGGTTGGACGGCCAGGGCCAGCGATCCGGGAGTTCGTGTAGGGGTTCACGGGTTAAGGGTTTGGGTTTAAGGAGGGGTTTACAGCAAAGTTTCGAGGGTCTTGTAGATTGTCTTTTTTAAGTTTCTTGTTTATTGGTTCCTATCAGGGTTCTATAGAGCTTTATGGCTTTCTTGAAGCATTAGAGGGTTGTGTTTAGGGTTTTCGTCTTGTGAAGTCTAGGGTTCGGGGTCTTGTTTTCAGATATTTCGAGTTTGCTGCCTGGAGCGTTTCAAGCTCGCATAACTTCAACGCATTCCTACATTCGGGTTCAGGGTTTCGGCACCATGCTGCTGCAATATTGTATTCGTTTCAGACCTTGTACCGCTGAAATCTGATCATCACTTCTTTACTCTGGTATCAGGCTGGGTTTATTTCGATATCTGTTCCTTGCGGTCGTAGCTGGTTCTGCTTTCCATGCTTGTATTGGCTCGCATTTACCCGAAGAAGAAACGGTTGGATCAAGCTTCGCGCATCGTGACGCAGAGTCTAAAAAATCCACGCTTTCATGTTGATGGGCATGAGGCAGTCCTTCCTCGTCACGCTGCTCCTGCAGTGCTTGGTTTTCATCGACGGGGTGCGCACGGTTGTGGACACGTCTGAGGGTGCCGCGGCACGGATTGCTGCCGCGGATGCGCTTTCTTCGAGCTTGACCGTGCGTGAGCAAGAGACTGGGTTGCTCTTAAGGAACTTAACTTAAGCTACCACAACAAGGAAGCTTATTATTGCTTGTAGATCCCCATTATGGTGGCTTAAATTGAGTTCCTTGACAGCAACCCAGGAGAATCCATTGGTCAGCATCCATTTTGAGATGGACCCCGCGGAGATGCAGAAAATGCTCGGCGACCGCCTGGAGCCGGACCTGTATGATGGTAAGGCGTTCATCCAGGTATCCGTCTTCTACATCTCGAGTCTTTGGATGAAGCTACCAGTAGTCTCGTTTACGCCAAGCATGATGTCGAGCTGGTGCATGCGTATTTCCGCTTATGTGAAGATGAAGGAGACCGAGGAGAAGGGTTATGTGATCCTGTCGGCGGATTTCGAGGACTCGATCTCTGGCAGCATCATGACGAACGGTTGCAAGAAGTCCCAGCTCGGAACCAAATGTGGTACCGTGGCGGTGTATGAGTTGAACTTGAACCAGACGGTTGAGAGTGACAGCAAGTTGTTCTCAGTGTTTCAGAATGGGACGGAGATCCTGCACGTCGACGCGACGTTGCAGCCTCTTTCCAACTTGCCCTTTTGGAACTGGGCCAACGAGCGGTACGCACGCTTCCGTTTGAGCGAGGACAAGAAGACCTTGGAACGTGGCGAGCAACCTCCGAAGCACAAGACCTTCAGTGGCAACTTCCAGGTACAGCCAGCCGACGCCATCGACCCCATGTGGTTCAAGGTCTTCCAGACCAAGTTTGCGGCGTATGGTTGGGGATACCTCGACGCCCCGAAACCAGATCCCTGTGGGCAGGGCAGGTGTTTCTACTCAAAGGAGGCGGTCTTTGTGGACGAGGACGCCAAGAAGGTCTGATGCAGGGCTTGATAGTGTCCAGAACCCTTCATTCTGAGCAGCACTGACCGCGACGGCATGGCGTGCCGCAGGAAAATCACAAAGCGCTACCCCCAAAAGAGTGCCAAGGGCTCCTTAGATGGCGGGGCGGTCCTGTCTTGCAGGGCTCTGCTTAGGCAAGTCCCCTGAAGCCTTCGAGGCGACCGTCGCACTGCCGCCGACGCGGCCGGTGCGCCTCAGCCCAGGTGGGAGTGACTACACAGAGCATGAAAGGTGCATGCGTATACCGTCTGCAGATATGTATGTCTGCGCATGTGTGTACCTGTCCGCATCTGTTTATACCACAGTGTATGTATGCATGTACGTACGTATGTATGTGTGTGTATGCATGAGCGTACGTCACAGAGTTATTTTGTTGAGGCTTAGGAGCGACTAGCCTGAGGTTTGCTGTAGTTGCCGCCAAGCTGTCACGACTCGTCAAATCGAGAGAGTGATGAATCAGTTCACCGGGTTAAGTTTCCCAACAAGTGACTTGCAGCTCTGAACGCTTTCCTTAGGCCTTTGCTCCTGCCTACACGCGGGCAGCCCCGGCCGCTGCGGAGGCATCAAGTGAGTTCGGCTGAGGGTTCCTTAGAGACGAAGTGACAGCAACCGAGAACCGGGGCCAGACTAGGAATCGTTGCCACTGACATCCGTGACTGTACTACTACGTGTTGGTTGTGAGACGGCTGTTGCTGAGGCACGTGTCAAGCACCATTATGCATTGATAGCGACCTAGTGATACAAGCATCTGCGCAGTTGCTGCGTAACAGCTGGAAGGCATAGCTAGCATGCCATGGTGATCTGTGAAGAATCACATTCACATCGAACCCTAAACCTTGAACATACTACGCCCCGGTAGGCTCCTGCTTGTCTCGATCGCTTGGATGCCCAGGTCCCCTCGAACTCTAGCGAGCCTTGCTAACCCGTCAGCGTTTGCACAAGGGTCTCAGAAGGAGAAGCATAATGCCATAAGACTTTATGGGGGGGGGGGCACGTGCGACGTCTTTGTGCAGAGCTCCTGAGCGAAACTCCATGGTTCTGGCCAGCTGTTGGATCAAGCTTCGCGCATCTTGACGCAGAGTCTAAAAAATCCACGCTTTCATGTTGATGGGCATGAAGCAGTCCTTCCTCGTCACGCTGCTCCTGCAGTGCTTGGTTTTCATCGACGGGGTGCGCACGGTTGTGGACACGTCTGAGGGTGCCGCGGCACGGATTGCTGCCGCGGATGCGCTTTCTTCGAGCTTGACCGTGCGTGAGCAAGAGACTGGGTTGCTCTTAAGGAACTTAACTTAAGCTACCACAATAAGGAAGCTCATGATTGACTATAGATCTCCATTATGGTGGCTTAAATTGAGTTTTCTGACAGCAATCCAGGAGAATCCATTGGTCAGCATCCATTTTGAGATGGACCCCGCGGAGATGCAGAAAATGCTCGGCGACCGCCTGGAGCCGGACCTGTATGATGGTAAGGCATTCATCCAGGTATCCGTCTTCTACATCTCGAGTCTTTGGATGAAGCTACCAGTAGTCTCGTTTACGCCAAGCATGATGTCGAGCTGGTGCATGCGTATTTCCGCTTATGTGAAGATGAAGGAGACCGAGGAGAAGGGTTATGTGATCCTGTCGGCGGATTTCGAGGACTCGATCTCTGGCAGCATCATGACGAACGGTTGCAAGACGTCCCAGCTCGGAACCAAATGTGGTACCGTGGCGGTGAATGCGGTGAACCAGACGGTTGAGAGTGACAGCAAGTTGTTCTCAGTTTTTCAGAATGGGACGGAGATCCTGCACCTCGACGCGACGTTGGAGCCTCTTTCCAACTTGCCCTTCTGGAACTGGGCCAACGAGCGGTACGCACGCTTCCGTTTGAGCGAGGACAAGAAGACCTTGGAACGTGGCGAGCAACCTCCGAAGCACAAGACCTTCAGTGGCAACTTCCAGGTACAGCCAGCCGACGCCATCGACCCCATGTGGTTCAAGGTCTTCCAGACCAAGTTTGCGGGGTATGGTTGGGGATACCTCGACGACCCGAAACCAGATCCCTGTGGGCAGGGGAGGTGTTTCTACTCAAAGGAGGCGGTCTTTGTGGACGAGGACGCCAAGAAGGTCTGATGCAGAACCCTTCATTCTGAGCAGCACTGACCGCGACGGCATGGCGTGCCGCAGGAAAATCACAAAGCGCTATCCCCAAAAGAGTGCCAAGGGCTCCTTAGATGGCGGGGCGGTCCTGTCTTGCAGGGCCCCTGAAGCCTTCGAGGCGACCGTCGCACTGCCGCCGATGCGGCCGGTGCGCCTAAGCCCAGGTGGGAGTGACTGCGAGCATGAAAGGTGCATGCGTTTACCGTATGCAGATATGTATGTATGCGCATGTGTGTGTGTACCCGTCCGCATCTGTCTATGCCACAGTGTATGTATGCATGTACGTACGTATGTATGTGTGTGTATGCATGAGCGCACGTCACAGAGTTATTTTGTTGAGGCTTATAAGGCGCGATTAGCCTGAGGTTTGCTGTAGTTGCCGCCAAGCTGTCACGACTCGTCAAATCGAGAGAGTGATGAATCAGTTCACCGGGTTAAGTGTCCCAGCCAGTGACTTGCAGCTCTGAACGCTTTCCTTAGGCCTCTGCTCCTGCCTACACGTGGGCAGCCCGGGGGCCCCGGGGCCAACTGCAGCGCGCTGGCGATGAGCCCCCCGGAGGCGTCAAGTGAGTTCGGCTGAGGGTTCCTTAGAGACGAAGTGACAGCAACCGAGAACCGGGGCCAGACTAGGACTCGTTGCCACTGACATCCGTGACTGTACTACTACGTGTTGGTTGTGAGACGGCTGTTGCTGAGGCACTTGTCAAGCACCATTATGCATTGATAGCGACCTAGTGAGACAAGCATCTGCGCAGTTGCTGCGTAACAGCTGGAAGGCATAGCTAGCATGCCATGGTGATCTGTGAAGAATCACATTCACATCGAACCCTAAACCTTGAACATACTACGCCCCGGTAGGCTCCTGCTTGTCTCGATCGCTTGGATGCCCAGGTCCCCTCGAACTCTAGCGAGCCTTGCTAACCCGTCAGCGTTTGCACAAGGGTCTCAGAAGGAGAAGCATAATGCCATAAGACTTTATGGGGGGGGGGGCACGTGCGACGTCTTTGTGCAGAGCTCCTGAGCGAAACTCCAGGGTTCTGGCCAGCTGTTGGATCAAGCTTCGCGCATCTTGACGCAGAGTCTAAAAAATCCACGCTTTCATGTTGATGGGCATGAAGCAGTCCTTCCTCGTCACGCTGCTCCTGCAGTGCTTGGTTTTCATCGACGGGGTGCGCACGGTTGTGGACACGTCTGAGGGTGCCGCGGCACGGAGTGCTGCCGCGGATGCGCTTTCTTCGAGCTTGACCGTGCGTGAGCAAGAGACTGGGTTGCTCTTAAGGAACTTAACTTAAGCTAGCACAACAAGGAAGCTTATTATTGCTTATAGATCCCCATTATGGTGGCTTAAATTGAGTTTTTTGACAGCAACCCAGGAGAATCCATTGGTCAGCATCCATTTTGAGATGGACCCCGCGGAGATGCAGAAAATGCTCGGCGACCGCCTGGAGCCGGACCTGTATGATGGTAAGGCGTTCATCCAGGTATCCGTCTTCTACATCTCGAGTCTTTGGATGAAGCTACCAGTAGTCTCGTTTACGCCAAGCATGATGTCGAGCTGGTGCATGCGTATTTCCGCTTATGTGAAGATGAAGGAGACCGAGGAGAAGGGTTATGTGATCCTGTCGGCGGATTTCGAGGACTCGATCTCTGGCAGCATCATGACGAACGGTTGCAAGAAGTCCCAGCTCGGAACCATGTGTGGTACCGTGGCGGTGAATGCGGTGAACCAGACGGTCGAGAGTGACAGCAAGTTGTTCTCAGTGTCGCAGAATGGGACGGAGATCCTGCACCTCGCCGCGACGTTGGAGCCTCTTTCCAACTTGCCCTTCTGGAACTGGGCCAACGAGCGGTACGCACGCTTCCGTTTGAGCGAGGACAAGAAGACCTTGGAACGTGGCGAGCAACCTCCGAAGCACAAGACCTTCAGTGGCAACTTCCAGGTACAGCCAGCCGACGCCATCGACCCCATGTGGTTCAAGGTCTTCCAGACCAAGTTTGCGGGGTATGGTTGGGGATACCTCGACGCCCCGAAACCAGATCCCTGTGGGCAGGGCAGGTGTTTCTACTCAAAGGAGGCGGTCTTTGTGGACGAGGACGCCAAGAAGGTCTGATGCAGGGCTAGAACCCTTCATTCTGAGCAGCACTGACCGCGACGGCATGGCGTGCCGCAGGAAAATCACAAAGCGCTATCCCCGAGAGAGTGCCAAGGGCTCCTTAGATGGCGGAGCGGTCCTGTCTTGCAGGGCTCTGCTTAAGCAAACCCCCTGAAGCGTTCGAGGCGACCGCCTCTCTGGCGTTCCCTCTGGGTCGTGGCACTGCCGCCGACGCGAACACACGGCCGGCGCGCCTAAGTCTGGGTGGGAGTCTGCACATGAGCCTAATTTCTGAGGGTAATGTAGAGCCTGATTAAGAAGCCGTGGCCCCAGAACCCAAACTATCAGGGTCCATATGGGTGGGTGTCAAAATTATGGTCCCTTTCTGAATCCTTATTTCAATACGGCACTTAATGTTAATTAAGGGTGCCCAAAAAGGGACCCTTGACAACTTCCCATGTAAGGGGCCTGAATCAAGACCCAAGCTTTTCTGAGGGTGGTTTGGTCCGATGATATCGGACCAAACCTCTGAGTTCTGGAGGGACCCAGAGACTCCAATATCCCTGAATTAGGGAATATTCCTTAAACCATAGTTGGGATCCTACTACAATTTAAGGTATATTCCTTCATTAAGGCATATTGGAGTCTTGGGGGAGCCTGCGGGTTCAATGTAGTGTTGCTCGGAAGCACTACGCCTACTGCAGGACCGAGCTACCATGACACTTCTCCTGAACCATCTCTCCCAGCCCAAAACCCTGATGCCCATTTTCGATACCTCAAACCCGGAACCCAGAACCCTAAACTTAACACAAGCAGCATAAAGCTCTACCGAGCTCTCAGGCTTCGAAGCCAGTGTTCGCCATCCGCACCCGAGGATCAGTACACCGGACGAAGACACAAAAATCTATATATAGTTCAGGACGGAGTTTAAGGTTCTAGTAGAAATCGTCGTCGTCGCCGCGACGGCGGCGGCGGCGGTGGTGCTGGCGGCAGTGGCAGCGTCGGGGCACTAGAGCCAACCAGCTTGACATACTGGCTGCACCTCTTACCAGAACGTCCGGCGCAGACCCTGTTGAGATTTCAGGTGCGCCTTGGACTGGACACCTCTTCCGGGCGCGGACTTGGATCTGCACCACCAAGGGACCAAGGCCATATCCGCAAGTGTGCAGATTGATGTTCGGGTTTCTCCGAAGTTTGCTCACTTCGACTTGTAGCAACGGGCATCTGCAGTATTCGAACATCTCCCCAGCCGATGGTTGAACTCATGTCGTAAACATCGCAGCTGTGGTCCTTCGGCAAGGCGAGAGAGAGAGAGAGAGAGAGAGAGAGAGAGAGAGAGAGAATTGTTCTTGACAGCAGAGAGGGAAAGATCCCATTCCCTTGGAACGTTGCGGGCATGTTTGAAGCCCCATCACGCGACGACGCCAGGACTTGGCATGGCATGGTGGAAGATTCGCAACTCGTGCGATCAGTGAGCGTGCGAGTGCCAGGGTTATTGCATTGAAAAATTTGTAATCTATTTAGTGTGTTCGGGCGTCGAGAGTCAGCTCCTGGCTCGCCCCATGATCCCTAAGCCCTAAACCGTAAACCAGCATAGTTTCAGTTGTGCTCCGGCACCTTGCCCGCACATGATGCTGACCTCCGAGTGTCCGACCTTTACGCGTCCCATGCTGTGCTCAAACTGCACTGGCACCAGGCGGGGGGGTGCACGATCCTGAGGAGAATCAATGCTCAGACACTCGATGCCAAAATGCTTGAACTGCACATGGAAAGCTATCAAATCACAGTCCTTTCTGATGTGGCGCCGAATAGCCGGTACGGGGGCCCAAAAGGTGGATTACCATAATTTTGATAATCCCATGTGTGTGGTGCTCAGGTAGACCGGCCCAACTTATTCCACCGTCTTTCTGTCCCGAACAAGAGTTGCGGAGTGCTCTGTCCAAAAAGCCTAACGAAGAGTTCTGGTAGTCAAGAAATCGGTTCCAGCGCTTTTCTTAGGTATCCAGACTACTTCATTGTTGTTCTGCATGTCGGATGTGATAGAGCTGCTTGTCGGAATCTGGCTAGGGTGCTGGGGCGCTAAACCCTAAACCCTAAACCTTCAACCCTAAACCCTAAACCCTAAGCCGTTCGAGGTTCAGTGGAGCCTGATATTTTCGGTCTATGACTGGCATGTGGGAGTTTCCGAAAATTAGGGGTACCTTTGAAGGAATCCTTAAAGGGTTCCTTAAAGGGATCTATAAGGGTCCTATACAGGGTTTAAGGTTCATAGTTTTCGGAAATCAGGGGTACCTTCTTTTGGGGGTCCTTATAATAAAGATCCTACTTTTTAACGTACTGTATTAGGGTCCCCTGTTTTCGGAAACTCCCATGTCTGTCTCATGTAGATACTCCCCAGCACCTGCCAAACAGCATCATTAATCAGCCATTTGAGGATATTTGAGGACTCTCAAAAATGCTACTGGGATAACCCCAAAGCTTGAATGTCATAGACCCTAAAACCTGTAAGCCCCGACAAAGCATCAACCCAGCCCAAAAACCAAAGTTTTGCAACATGCTGGCCATCTCTGCTCAAACAGAATGGGTGCGATGCATGTCTTCAGTAGATGCCGGGGATCGGGGGCTTCCAAAAATGGGAGCTCCCCTTCTAGGAGTCCGTACGTTCTACTTGCCTCCTTCATACATCTTCCCTGACAAACTCCACTTCGAAGCCAGTGATCCCCTTCCTCTAATGCTCAACCTGCGCCCTGAAATTGTAGGATTGTGGGAGGGAAAAGTTGGGGGTTCAAGGCAGTTAGGGCCATAGCTTACGTGCAACTATAAATCAGGTAACTATAGTTATGTCTGCTTATAACCCCAATTAAGGAACCTAGAACCCTACTTACTAAGTCCTGATCCCTGCATAGCACCCAAAGTCCACCATGCCACACCCCCTTGGGCCATTGAAGCCGGGCCCAATCGAGGAGGGCCTGGCTTAAGGGTTTCGGTGGCTGGATCTGCCAAAATGGGATACAGCCCCGTCGGTGTATGGCAGCATGATAAGGGTGCGGATTGGGGTTTACTTAGAGGATCTTGGGATTTAGTAACTAGGGTTTTAAGTAAGGTAACTAGACATATAGCTACTTATTACCCCAGTGAAGGTACTTACAACCTTACTTAATTACTAAATCCCATGATCCTCTAAGTAGGGTTTCACGCTTAGTCCATAGGCCTGAAGCTCCAGGATGGCTTTAGGGTGCAGGCTGCAGCCCGGGTGTCTTCTGTCTTCTTGTTATCATACTACAATCTTCCTACATACGCAGTGCTGCAAGTTCTTGCCAGTTCTGACTTTTCGAACCTGGTGTTATCTGCGTTCGGGCAAGCAGCTTGACCGGGCCATGACACTTAAAACGGTTCATGGGACGGATATAGTTTGGTCATCTCTGTTCTAGTGGTGGGTTGATCTTGGTTTAAAGGATTGAGTTTGAGGCTTTCCTGGTTCTTGACTCTTCAGGTCTAGGACTGAGGAAGCAGGGGCAGAGGATGTGTTGCTGGATTTCGGGTGCCAGTTCTGAACCCCGCAAAGCTGTAGGCAACATGGTCAGGTCTCGGTCACCCAAGGGCAAGTCAATAGCTGTTGTCGTGGCAGTCGTCGTCGTAGTCATCGTAGTCATCATCGTCATCGCCATCATAAGGATCATGGTTTTTCCTGGGAAATGACGTTGGCAGCCGCAGAACGTCCTTTTACCTTGACCCCTGCAGGCCATCATGGGTCTTTCCCCAAAACTATTCTGAAGCATCTTCAACTGTGTGCGTGAGGAGCCTGCTGAGAAGCAAAGGCTGGAGGCAGAGCTTCAGAAGGACCGGGGAAGGTCGCTTCATAGCTGCCTTACGTCGGCATGCAGGTTCTCTTTGCCCGCATAAGTCTACTGCCCGAACCCCGGCTCCGATGCTTGAATCCTGGCGGAACAACCACATCCAGACGCATTGCAAAGTCCACTGTGACACTCAGTCGATGCATGTAATGCTTCTCCGTCGACATGGACTGCTTCGGTGCAGGAGGGTCGCCTCGAAGCGGAGAAGGTTCATGTTGCGAAGTAGATTCCATTGGTCATGTAGCCATATCAAAGTTCTTCTGAAGTAGCCCTGCGAGTATTCTACTCCCGTCTCCGCCCCTCTGCTGCGGTTGTTACGGTGCAGTTACTGCTTTGCAACTATTGCCACTGTCACCGCCGCCACTACCACTACCGCCACCGCCTCTGCCACTACCACTACTGCTGGTGCCACTGCCGCTGCCACTGCCACTCGGCGACGATGTCGACTACCACGACACTGACGACGATGCTTACTTGCTAGTGCCACACGGCTACGACAATGCTGCTGCTACTACTACTACTACTACTGCTGCTGCTGCTGCTACTACTACTACTAAGTTACTACTACTACTACTACGACGACGACGACTACTATCACTGCTACTACAACCGCAACTGCTGCTGCTGCTGCTACTACTACTACTACTACTGCTACTACGGCGACGACTATTACTACTGCTATTGTTATCATTATTATCACCACTCTTGCTATAGCTACTGCTTCTGCAGCTACTACTACTACTACTACTACTACTACTACTACTACTGCTGCTACTACTGCTACTACTGCCACTACTGCTACTGCTACTGCTACTGCTACTGCTACTGCTACTGCTACTGCTACTGCTACTGCTACTGCTACTACTACTACTACCACCACGACGACTACTGTCACTACTTGTCGACGATTACCATGACGACGACCACCACCAATACCACCACGACGACAACAAGAAACATGCTCGCAGGAAGAAAGTTGGTCTTGTACAGTGAATCTGTTATTGCTAGGGCATTAAAGGGTGATCCGATAGTAGACCTAGGCGCTACCGAGCATTGCTTATGCTTGTTACTGTGATGGTGACGACGATGGAGATGACGAGGGCGGCAGCGACGATTAGGACGACACGGATGATGGAGATGCTGATGATGATCGTGAAGATGATG